GGTTAGGAAGAATCAACATCGTGAAAATGGCCATACTGCCCAAAGTAATTTACAGATTCAACGCTATTCCCATCAAGCTACCAATGACCTTCTTCACAGAACTGGAAAAAAACACCTTAAACTTCATATGGAACCAAAAGAGAGCCCGCATAGCCAAGTCAATTCTAAGCAAAAAGAACAAAGCGGGAGGCATCACACTACCGGACTTCAAACTATACTACAAGGCTACAGTAATCAAAACAGCATGGTACTGGTACCAAAACAGAGATATAGACCAATGGAACAGAACAGAGGCCTCACAGGAAATACAACATACCCACAACCATCTGATCTTCGACAAACCTGACAAAAACAAGCAATGGGGAAAGGACTCCCTGTTTAATAAATGGTGTTGGGAAAACTGGCTAGCCATGTGCAGAAAGCAGAAACAGGACCCCTTCCTGACACCTTACACCAAAATTAACTCCAGATGGATTAAAGACTTAAACATCAGACCTAATACCATAAAAACCTTAGAAGAAAATCTAGGCAAAACCATTCAGGACATAGGTGTAGGCAAGGACTTCATGACCAAAACGCCAAAAGCAATGGCAACAAAAGCCAAAATAGACAAATGGGACCTAATCAAACTCCACAGCTTCTGCACGGCAAAAGAAACAGTCAGTAGAGTGAATCGGCAACCAACAGAATGGGAAAAAATTTTTGCAGTCTACCCATCTGACAAGGGGCTGATATCCAGAATTTACAAAGAACTAAAGCAGATCTACAAGAAAAAAACAAACAAGCCCATTCAAAAATGGGCAAAGGATATGAACAGATACTTTACAAAAGAAGACATACAGGAGGCCAACAAACATATGAAAAAATGCTCATCATCACTGGTCATCAGAGAAATGCAAATTAAAACCACACTGAGATACCATCTCACACCAGTTAGAATGGCGATCATTAAAAAATCTGGAAACAACAGATGCTGGAGAGGATGTGGAGAAATAGGAACACTTTTACACTGTTGGTGGGAATGTAAATTAATTCAACCATTGTGGAAGACAGTGTGGCGATTCCTCAAGGACCTAAAAATAGAAATCCCATTTGACCCAGCAATCCCATTACTGGGTATATATCCAAAGGATTATAAATCATTCTACTACAAGGACACGTGCACACGAATGTTCATTGCAGCACTGTTTACAATAGCAAAGACCTGGAACCAACCCAAATGCCCAACGATGATAGACTGGATAGGGAAAATGTGGTACATATACACCATGGAATATTATGCAGCCATCAAAAACGATGAGTTCACGTCCTTTATAGGGACATGGATGAACCTGGAAACCATCATTCTCAGCAAACTGACACAAGAGCAGAAAATCAAACACCGTATATTCTCGCTCATAGGCGGGTGTTGAACAATGAGAACACATGGACACAGGGAGGGGAGCACTACACACTGGGGTCTGTTGGGGGGAAATGGGGGAGGGGCGGGGGGTGGGGAGGTGGGAAGAGATAGCATGGGGAGAAATGACAGATACAGGTGAGGGGACGGAAGGCAGCAAAGCACACTGCCATGTGTGTACCTATGCAACAATCTTGCATGTTCATCACATGTACCCCAAAACCTAAAATGCAATAAAAAAAAAAAAAAAAAAAAAACAAATAAGAGCAAATGTCCTAAAAAAAATCAGGGGCTGAGCCGGGGGTGGTGGCTCATGCCTGTAAACCCAGCACTTTGGGAGGCCAAGGCAGGCAGATCTCTTGAGGTCAGAAGTCTGAGACCAGCCTGACTGACATGGTGAAACCTCGTCTCTACTAAAAATACAAAAATGAGCAGGCATGGTGGCAGGTGCCTGTAATCCCAGCTACTCAGGAGGCCTGAGGCAGGAGAATCTTTTGAACCCAGGAGGTGGAGTTTGCAGTGAGTTGAGATGGCACCATTGCACTCCAGCCTGGGCAAGAAAGTGAGACTCTGTCTCAAAAATAAAATAAAAATAAAAAATTAAGGGGCTGGCATGGTGGGTCACATGTATAATCCCAGCACTTTGGGAGGCTGAGGCAAGAGGCTTGCTTGAGACTAGAGTTTAAGACCAGCCTGGAAAAACATAGTAAGACCCCATTTCTACAAAAAAAAAAACACACAAAAACAATTAAAAAATTATATTAGCTGGGCATGGTGGTGCATACCTATAGTCCCAGCTACTTTGGAGGCTGAAGCAGGAGGATCCCTTAAGCCTCCTAGTTCAAGGCTGCAATGAGCCATCATTGCACCACTGCACTCCAGCCTGAGTGATAGTGAGACCCCATCTCTTAAAAAAAAAAAAAGAGGTCAATTCTGAGTAGAAGTAGTCCACTAGATCAATCTTCAGAATCTGTATCAGTCACCTCACCACACTTTCTCATAAACAACAAATCCTAATGACAAGGAAAATCCTAAAATTAATCATATTTTGTTGAAGTCACATAGGGCAAGTGTTAAATTCCTATCTTTCTTATATGAGTCCTACATAATATCTTTCCTATATAAAAGTTAGGCCAGGCATGGTGGCTCATGCCTGAAGTCCCTGCTTCTCGGGAGGTTGAGATGGGAGGATTGCTTAAGCCTGGGTGGTCGAGGCTACAGTGGGCCCTGATAAGTCCACTGCACTCCAGCCTGGGTGATGAAAGGAGACCCTGTCCCAAGAAAACTCTTTTTATTTAATTCGATACAATTAAATAAAACGAGAAAGTTTTCAGAGAAGGTTTGAGCATTAAGGTTGACAACTCAATTTAAAGAAATATACAATAAAGGACACATCTATAAGGATTTTAGAAGAAACAGATTATTGTATACCCATATCATACCACAATCATCAAAAACTTAAAGCTACTTTGTTAATTAATTCATTGGTTGACAGTAATTATACCAATTTGATTTGGTTGTTTTGACAGTTTATAAACATATGCTTAGTGAATTCCACAGAGAAGAAAAAAAAAATCACTGAACATTCATTCAACTATTGGTAAAAACTTTCCATATAATGAATGGGCCCTCTATAGAGAAAGTGCAAAAAAAAAAAAAGATCCATCAGATATGTTAAGAAGATACCAAAACAACATGAAATTTTGTGTTTCAGTAATTTTTTTTCTAAGGAAGCATAAAGTTATTATTATATATATCCATAGTTTCTTAATGCTCGCTGTACATGAGATTCACCAGGAAGATTTTAAAACTACTGATACCCTAACCCTGTATCCCAGACCTACTGAATCAGAGTTTTTCAGAGTAGAACACTGGTACCAGTACTTTTTTCCCTTCCTTGGGTGATTTTAATGTGTAGGTGAGGTTGAGAACCATTAATACAGAATCTTCAATCAACTGATTTATGGACACCAGGTTGTCAGGTGTCAACCTGAACAGACCATTTTTTTATATATCATTGGTGCCTGTGAGTTTGGGCTACCCGTATTGGTAACTATTTAATAATGATAGTGAAAGCTGGTTTTTTATAGTTGTCTGGTTGAACTATCACTGCCTGATGAAGCAGCACTCTGTTCTCCCTTAAGAGATTTAATTTTGTTATTTTTAAGTGTGAGTTTTTATTTTTTTGGTGGCTTCTTCACAGGCTATGAATGTGGTTGCTTTCAAGTTACAGGTTCAGAGAGCGGAAATTTCTGTTTCAAGAAATACATCTGGTTTCAGTAGATAAGTATGAACTCACTCCCATGGAAAGTATTCCACCGAGCAAAGTTGAATTACAAAAACAATACCAGTTGGTCCCAAAATAAGTACTTGTGGCCCTAATTTATAGTATGTCAAATAAACCACAAAATGATTAATTGTACTCAGGAATATTTTGAAAAAAAAAACATAGTCTACAAATGTTTGGGGTGATAAATTTTAAGTATTAGTATAGTTAACATTTTATGTTGCTACTTTGCTTACATATATGAACCACAGAGCCAGAAGATGGTGTTGGGCAGAAAACAATTGCTGATTTTTATGGTGATTTGGAAGTCTGAAAACTAGGTTCCGATTTCCTTTACAGTCTTAAGTGACTAATGCTATATCTATAAGAGACTCATAAACATGGAATTTCTCTCTAGATGCAGAGATGAGTTATTTTCAAAATATACAAGGTACCCTCAGAAATGGAAACATTAGAAGCTTTCTGCAGTAATCAGAAGTCAGGAAAAGCAGAGTCAAAAAGTTAATACAACATATTTCAAACATTTTGTTTCAATTAGTATCATAAACAAAAAATTCATTCACTAATCTTTGGATATTAGGTCATGATTGGAGTTTTGTGTTATTTTTCTTAGTTAAACCACATCCAGATCTCCTGCTTTCATTTCTTAAAGAGGAGCAGGACCTTACTGGACCTTTGAAAAAACCTGAATGCAAAATCATTCTAGATATTTTTACTGTACTCTTCAAATCTCTTATGACTATGCCACACCTAAGTACTAATTTGCTTGTTCATTTGCTTTATAAAAAATTTTATACTTTTTTAAATTGAGATAAAATTCACATAAACTTCACTATTTTAACATTTTTAAAGTATACAGTTTAGTGGTTTTTATATATTTGCAATGTTGTGCAACCACCACCCCATTATCTAACTCCAGAACATAGCCCTTGCCCCAGAAAGAAATCTTGCATCCATTATCAGTCACTCTCTATTTCCCCTACCCCACTTCCCTGGCAATTACTAATCCACTTTTTGTTGATATGCATTTGCCTATTCTAGATATTTTATATGAATCATACAACATGTGGTCTTTGTATCTGGCTTCTTTCACTTAGCATTATGTTTTCAATGTTCATCCATGTTGCAGCATGTGTTGATATTGTTTTTTAACATTGCTTACTTTTATGGCCTCATATGGCAATCAACTTAGTTTGCATAGAAATACCATTCTTTGTTTAGCATTCACATTACATCAGTTTATGCAATATTTCATTAAATCACTAAATTACAATAGCATCCCAGCACTTTGGGAGGCCGAGGTGGGTAGATTACCTGAAGTCAGGAGTTCGACACCAGCCTGGCCAACATGGTGACACCCCCGCTCTACAAAAAAGAAAAAAAAGAAAAAAAAAATTAGCCGGGCATGGTGGTGGGTGCCTGTAATCCCAGCTACTAGAGAGGCTGAAGTGGGAAAATTACTTGAACCAGGGAGGCGGACATTGCAGTGAGTCAAAATCACGCCACTGTACTCCAGCCTGGGCGACAGACCGAGACGCCGTCTCGAAGAAAAAAAAATGCAATAGCAAAGTACAACTGGCATAAACTGGACTATAACCAAACACCACTGCAAGCATGCACCTGACCTAGTAATAGATACCAATTTATTAAGATGATCGCTATTTCCCACAGTTGTCTCTGTGTCTGTACAACAACCAGGATGTATTTCAGAGGGGAAGGAGAGCATTGGTTAAATCAATGAGTTGTTTTAGTATTGGGCAGTATTTCATTACCCAGAACAGGTTAACTCAATGAGTTGTTTTAGTGTTGGGCAGTATTTCATTACCCAGAACAGAGTAAGATACATGCAGAGGGGCGGAGAGGTGATAAGTGTCTATTATACAAACCAATACAGCTTCAACTGGTTCCCAAGAGAAAGTTTTCTATGTGTCTTCAAAAAGAGACAAGGATATGCTCTCATAAAGACAGGTATATCCTCTGTGCCTCTATAGAAGCTTTACCATCTTTCAAGAAGCAACTCCAGTGTGCCCTCCTCTACAAAGCCTTCCCTAACCCTCAAATATTCACAGTGCCTGCCTGCTCTCTCTTCTTCCTTTTAACTCCCAAAGTACTTATGCACCTCTTATGGTAGTTAAAATTGGTATGATAGCTAGTCATACAATGTCCTCAATCCATACCAGGCTGTAAGCTGCATCAGAGGCATGTTCTGTGTCTTTATACCTCCTGCTGTCACCAGCACCAGAAAAGTGATGCTCAAAACACAATCTTCACACAAATCCTTACACAAATCTTTTAATAAGGAGTTGTTCAATAAATATTCATTAAATTAATAAATGAATGAGCACATGAATTAAATAATCAATTAATTACTTGCAACATCTTACCTGGCTACAGCAATTCACCCTATTCGTCAATGTACAGTAAATGAAGGAAGGGTAAGTATCTAATTGGGTACAATGGTGGGTGAATGAAGAAAAAAAATCAACTATACCAGTGCCTAGCATGGACCAGAAATTGTGACTCTTCTCTAAATGTTCAACAGATACCACCTTCAAACAGGACATTGTTAGATAATGACACTTTCTGATGTCCTTTGATGTAGAGCAAATTAAAAATATTATCAGAGATAAAATCTTTCTGTTCAAAAGCCCTCAACATCTTCAACTGTGTATTTAGTTTTCATCAATTAAATTATTATACCATTTCAATGGGTGACTTTTTATACACACTGGAAAGGTACTCAAAAGAAAATAGCTTCCAAATCGGCAATTTTTAAAAGCAAAGCAACTGGTTAGGTAAGGAATGCATAAACAACCCCAAAAGCTTCACTGAATACTTTTCTTTGGCTGTATATGACTGAAAAACTGCCAAGTTCATTTTGATAAGCCCTTGTTAAAAACAATAAACATGCCTGAGCTTGCAAACCATGCTGTTTTGAAGAAAAAGCAATTGAGAGAATTAGGAAATGCTTAAAACTAGAACGTCTCATTAAAAACTACTGCAGAAATGGATTTACCAGTAAGTCACAACACTGTGTGGTCTATGAATGTGGAGGAAAGTGGGGGACAAAATGTAAAGTGAGACAAAATAACAGAACACCATGTTCATAAATAAATAAATAAAAAGCTACATCTAAGAAACTAATTTAGTCTCCAATACTAATATGGTACCACTAACACTCTCAAGAAAACAAATTATCCTGTGCTCCAAGTTTAATCACCATAGTGATGTCCCCGTAGTAAAGGAAATGGAATTTATATGACTCCAAATGAACATATATTAAACAACCAAATGTGGAAACTGTTACTAACTTACAGTAAAATGTCAGCTCATAAAAGTCAAAGTAACTTCATCTGAATTTGTTTGCTTTTTTCCCATGATTATAAGATTCTCAGAATCATGGAATTGGAAGGCAGATAATTTGGATCACTTACGTTTATTTTCCTGCTTAGGTAAAACTGAAATTCTCTTGTATCTGCCTAAGAAATCCTGGAAAAATTCTACTTAATAAATTGTAACTTGAGCTCTATAGGATCAAAGTTCTTTGTTTTGTTCATTGATACATCCCAAATACTCAGAACAGCACTAAGCACATAGTACGCACTCAAGAAATATCTGCTAAATTGAATTACATTGAAAAATATGCAGTGCAATGCAGTGTTAAATAAGTCAGTTTGAAATTCCTTTCTTTGCTCTGTTTTGGTCATAGTATTAATCACAAAAAACAAACAGTCCTTGTCCTCATATAAACCACTTCAATGCTATAATTCATGTCTTTACCTCTGATCAATCATTACCATAGAGGATGCTGAGAATCAGAAAAGACTCTGAGGACAGATGAGGGTAGACTTACTCCCAACTATTTTGACTACTTTTCTTCTTTAGGCAATTGCCTGGGATGTATCTGCATATTCATCATATAAAAATAATTTTAAATGTTACTTAAAATTAAAAGTTTGCATCTTTAAAAATTGTGCCACAAAAGCAATTTGATTAAATCAACTTTTCATCTATTTCAGAATCTCATCAGTTAAAAAAATAATAATAATAAAATAAGAACAGGAAACTGATATGATTAGGTGACACTAGTCACATTATTTTTGTTCAAAACGCCTAGATGCAATATGCCTTGGAAAACCGAATTAGGTGGGAATGCGACCTGGATGCTAGCGTTGGTTCCATCACCAGTTAACAGTATGAATTCAGCCAATGCTTCCCAACCTGGATCTGAGCTTCCCGGGCTGTAAGGTGAAGGGTTTGAACTTAGTAGATGGTCTCTAAAGCCTTTCCGTTTCTAAGTTTCTCTAAACCCTGTAATTACAAGTGATCAAATCCAGTTACCTAATTACTACCACTACTCTTTTATATCCTTCATTTTTTCAACAGTCGGTCATCTTGGGGACGGGGGGCGGGGTCAAACAACATTAGCCATAGTTTGGCAAGTAATTTATGGAGGGGGAGCGACAAACCATGCAGGGGCAGCTAGCTGATGATTTTAAATGTTAGTGAGTTTGGACACCTGTGGAAAGAATGTGTTTCTGAATTTGAAAGGCCGGAATATTTTCCCCCTGGGCTAAGCTGGTGGCGCCGCGGGAGTGCACAGTTCTGAGCAAAGAAACAGGTAGGATGAACTAATTAGAGGCTCTTCAAAATGCGAGTGTTTAACCAGTGTCCTGGTAGGACCTACCTGACTCGACATTTAAATATATATATATATATATATATATATATATATATATATATATATATGGCCGGGCACGGTGGCTCACGCCTGTAATTCCATCACTTTGGTAGGCTAAAGCGGGCAGATTGCTTGAGCCCATGAGCTCGAGAGCAAGCAGGCAACATGGCAAAACCCTGTATTTGCAAAAATAATAATAATAATAATAATACAAAAATTAGCCAGTCGTGGTGGCGTACACCTGTAGTCCCAGCTACTCCGGAGGCTGAGGCAGGAGGATCGCTTGAGCCAGGGAGGCGGAGGTTGCAATGAGCTGAGATCGCGCCACTGCACTCCAGCCTGGCCGACAGAGCGAGACCTTGTCTCCAAATAAACAGTATAAGAGGTTTAGAATGCTGATGTGTGAAAACGCAAGACTAACCAAATAGCCTCAGGACTTACTGGAATTTTGCTTCACAATTTTGCTTCGAACGCTTTTAAGAGTCCACAATACAGGTATCATTGCTTTCTTTGTGGACAAGAAGCAACTGAGAAATTGAATTCAATCCACTGAAGATTTTGAAAGCCAGTGTGTTTTTAATATAACACACATGATAAATAAATATTATTGTCGGAGGTGGGGGACAGGGGAGAGATTTTTTTAATGTGCTAAAAACATAAAATCCAGAAGAAAGGCGGTCTCTATTCCACCGAGAAGTTTGCATTTGAAAACCACAAGAGGTGGAGATCACAGCCGCTTGTTCTCCAACCACCTGTCCAAAAACGCCGCCGCAGCGCAGACCCAACCCAGACAGGGTAAATGGGCATAGGTCTCCCTCCCAACCCAAGCTGCGCGCCGAAGCACACCAGTTAGGGTCCCAGGCTCCCGGCGTGTGATGGGAGCTAGGGCAGCGGAGAATGGGGCGTCCCCGTCCTCCTCCAGCTCCAAGGACAGCCCCAGCGTCCCGCCGTCCCGCCGCCCTTCCTCGAGGGATGCCCTTGTCACCTGAGCCACCGCGCCCTCTGCACAGCCCAGTCGGGGAGAGGGAAGAGAGGGAGCCGAGGAAGCTTCTTGGCCCGGGTACTGGGGATCCAGGAGCCGGAGCCGCCCGCCAGACTGAACCCGGGACAGCCCAGCGCTCCAGCGCTCCGCAGCCCTCCCAGAGAGCACAGACACCCTCTCCTTGCTCCTCCCGCTCCCCCGCCACACCCAGGCTCAGCCCAGCCCCGCCGCGTCCTCACCTCGCCCGGACCACTGCAGCCCTGGCGGTAGCGGGCAGACATGTCCCCGGGGCGCACCCGCAGAGCCTCGTCCCTGCTCGGTGGCCCCTTCCCCGGCCCCAGGCGCCGCTATCCGAGCTTCCGTGGGGCTGGGAGCGGACTGGGCAAAAGCGCCGGCGGGGTTGGGGCCGGGGGCCCAGCGGGCAGCGCTGGGGGAGGGAAGCGTGGCGCGGAAAATCCCAGTGCTCGGCCTTCGAAATGCACTGCTAGTGCAGCTCCGCCAGTTCCGCCGGGGACTCGGCCGGGCGGTCGAAGGGGATGTAGCGCGGGGATCCGCTCTAAGTGCTGCGGCCGGGCGAGGGGTGAGGGGCGCAGAGGAGGAGGGCGTCTCGCGGTTATGTAATGCACCAGCTCTCTGTGTCCCCAGTCAGACGTCTCCAGGACTGCCGGACCCTCCCCGGGAGGA